AAATGAGCTCAGTTTCCTGTAGAGATTTTTTAAGACGCATAATGAGTTAAGAACAGAATTGTTTATCTTTTGACGTTTTACATGTCTATTTAAAGATTACACATTATTGCGTGTCGATTCCCAAATTGAAACAATAGGTTAACCAAGAAAACTGTACCTAAAGGAACTTTATGTGAAACCAACAAACAATCAACAAGTGGTATACAATTAACAATTGTATTACAAAATTTACTAGGTTTACAAATCAATACAAATTTCTGCACAGCAATTACAATAACAGTAGTAAATAGAGCGGTAGTACAATATTCAATGACTGTATAATGGCAGTGGTCAGTATCAAATACACAAATACAGTGGTGATAGCAAAAGATCTTCACAAGAAAGCTGGTTCCGATGTGATGAAATGCGTGAGAGATACGTAAAACACGCTATTGTCCCCTCATATATAGCCCAACAAGCTTCTGGAAAATTCTTCACAGTGCCATAACCAGTCTAGCGGCACTAGAACATTACAGAGGTTTCTATAACAAACTATCACCGTCCACGGTATACCGGACTGGAAGTTTACACACCACACTAGCATCTAAATGTAGTAACTTCCTGCCGACTGATCTCTGTTCAAAAACGATGCAATGAGCGTCTACCGAATCTCAACAGAAACAATGTAACACAGTTATAATCATTGTTCAACAGTAAAAAACGCTGTCATCTAACAAGTGCGGTACATCGATGTAAAAACATCTCTTGAATAATTCCATGAAATACTGTGTATCTCCACAACCCTGTGATATCCAAGCATAACCACAATGCCGAACTTAAACAAAAGCATTCTCACGTGAGATGCGGAAACTTCCATTATCATCTTGTAGTTTAAACATTTTATAACAAGCATATGGAGTCTATTTGAATTCAAGCTTATTAATGTACACCAATATCTTATACATCGGCTGAAATAATCAACACTCGGGTGATAACGGCCAACCGCACCAAGAACGGCATTAGATGGTGCCTTATCACTGATGAACAATTATCACTTGAAAAAAACAACTTTGGACTTTGGAGTACTTTCTCTAAATGTAAATCCCAACATTTTACTTCCGTAACATGCAATCGGAGCTATTTTACTATCAAATATAGAAACAATGACCTTAAGTGTACGGTGAGAACAAAGTTTAGTCAACTTAAAAGTAGGAAAACATGATTTCTTGGCCTGTAGCTATTAGGATCAGACATGTCTGCTTTCTTAAAAAAAAAATTCCAACATGTCATAAAGTGGGGGAAATTCCAGTATCCAAAATAGAATTAAACAGTAGATGTATATTTGGAAGAGTACAAAGCATTATTATAAAACGCCGGTGGCAAACCATCTATTCCTGGAGCTTTACTGAGTCAATGACTTTATGGCCTGTCTTACTTCATCTTCCGATAGGGGCGGTCGGGTAGCCTAGTGGTTAAAGCGTTCGCTCGTCACGCCGAAGAACCGGGTTCGATTCCCGACATGGGTACAATGTGTGAAGCCCATTTCTGGTGCCCCCCGCCGTGATATTGCTGGAATATTACTAAAAGCGGCGTAAAACCATACTCACTCACTCACTCATCTTCCGATAGAAAATACGACAGCATAACCGCAATGATGCAATCTTCCCAGTTCACACAATCAACTTCTTTGCAAACTCCAATGGCGCGCTGTCAAAATCAGTTTGCACCGATGCTTTTGGATTTGATAGATCTTTAAAATATGTTTACCAAGTAAGTAAGGAAAACATTCCCCGTCATCTTCACTGCACAGCAGTGATTTTACGTTGGTTAAAGATCCTGACAATTTCTATCGCTAATTGCTGTGTTAATGCGATTTGTTGTTTCTTTGGTGAAAATAAACTGCTTTTCCTTACATATCTCTCTCAAATCTTGTTTGTTTTATTCATTGATTTTCGATATGTTATCGATCATATTTAATTCGTTTGGGGTTTTTTTAATGAACATTCCTCGACCAACCATCTAGGTTATTCATTAGGAGCTTAAAATTTGACTAACTAACATATCCAGCTTCGGACCACAGAAATCTGGGAACTTTCGTTGTTATTCATTTTTCGTGGTCCCAAGGAAATTGGCAGATGGTCAGACACCGTTCTTCTCTGTACATATATATCTTTTATAGCAATAAAACTGTTTGAATACACAAGAAAATAATCTGTCAAACTTGTCCCATTTGGGCCCATGTAGGTGAAACAACCTTCCAAGTCACCATGTTTCTCCTTCAATTCACAATATGAATTCCCCACTGTTTACATATAGTTAATACTGATAAACGAATCATATATATTGTTATTTGTTTTCTCATCTTGTGATTTTCTTCCTTCACAGAACATATCTGTTTCATACACATATTCCTGGATCCAGCAGCTCAACATCACTTTCATTCTGTAACATGAGTGAGTGAGTGAGTATATGGTTTTACGCCGCTTTTAGCAATATTCCAGCAATATCACGGCGGGGGACACCAGAAATGGGCTTCACACATTGTACCCATGTCGGGAATCGAACCCGGGTCTTCGGCGTGACGAGCGAACGCTTTGACCACTAGGCTACCCGACCGCCCCTCTGTAACATGAAATCATCCTGGGTGGGATGCAGTTGGTGCATTAAGGTCCCCATAGAGAACTACATCAATGTCTGTGTCATACTCGGGGGCACGGTTGCCCAGTCGTCTTAGGCGACGCGATTTGTGTAGAGTTGCGTCCCTTGGGCACGCCAGAAATCTATGATTATGGATTCGAATCCCAGTTCGACCCGATATGTTTCTAGGTTTATCAGCATCATACCTGTGGGTTTCACCGAAGTGGTAAACGTCTGAGACCTGCATCACTTCGGGCTTTCCTCCCGTGATAAAACTGGAATACTGTTAAAAGCGGCGTTAAACCTAACTCACTCACTCACTTGGTCATACTCCGATTTAACATGAGCTATCACAGACTTCAGGTAATCAATTCCGTCGACTCCCGCCTGCGATATAGCAGGGACCTTCCGGAAGCACATACAGCCCATCGATGATGACAGGTTCCACGTCAGATTCAAGCCTCACGAACACAGAGTTATCCCAGTCACTGTGGATTCTTGTCGTGTACTGGATCGACGTAGCTCTTGAGCGCACACATGGGCTGCCCCTGAAAAAAAAACAAAAGTGCTTAACCCGTTTTGCTGGAGAAGCGTGACGTGTTATATGGCAGTGTATTTTATTGTTGAACAATGATTATAACTGTGTTACATTGTTTCTGTTGGGATTCGGTAGACCCTCATTGCATTGTGCTTGGACAGTGATCAGTCGTCAGGAAATTATTATATTTAGATGATAGTGTGGTGTGTAAACTTCCAGTCCGGTATACCGCGGATGGTGATACTTCTGTAGTGTTCTAGTGCCGCTAGACTGGTGAGGACACTGTGTAGAACTTTCCAGTAGCTAGGTATATGCTGCATGTAAGGAGACAACAGCTAGGTTAAGCATCTCTCACGCATTTCATCACATCGTAACCAGCTTTCTGGTGAGGATCGCTGATCATCCCTGATTCCTTCCCTCGGAAGCTTGACCGCTGTCGCCGCTGGGTGAATATATATTATTATCACTGACTTTTGCTATCATCACTGTATTTTTGCATTTGATACTGACCACTGCCATCATATATTAAATACTGTGACTGAATAATGGACGAATAGTACTACCACTCTATCGTGTTCTGCCATTGTAATTGTTGTGCAGTAATTTCTATTGATTTGCAGACCTACTTAATTTTGTAACTGATTGTACAACACTTGTGTGTTGTTTCTTGGTTTCATACTAACTTCTTTTACGTACATGGGCTAATATATTATTTTAATTTGGGAGTCGACACGTACCAGTTAAAGGAAGACCTCGGGCTTCTGCAAATGATAATGCCCTGAAAAATAGCGTTACCCTTATAATAGTTCTAAAACTGAATGCCAAGACAAATCACGTGATATGCCTATGCCTAGAACCTGGCAATGGGCAAATAGAACTGCAACTGAAGCAGAAGATCACAGACTATCTATAATACTCTAAATCCTCACCTTTCCAACAGGTCTGAAAAATAACGGCATGAATTGATTGGTTTACTTGCACTGATTAATAGTGGGAGTGCAAGTAGATCTACATTTAAACTGCCTGGCAAAAAGAGTTACCATGTTTGATGGTGGCTAAAATTGAAACAAACGAGAAATGGTTATTCAATGATAATATATATTAGATACGGGTATTATAGTTGTGTTTTCGACCTTATGTTTGCAGTGTTGAGGCGATTGTGTTCAGCCTGGTTTTGACAACGTTTGTAATTGTTGGTCAAATACAATGTTCGTGGGTATACTTAAAAAAATGTTTTTGTCTTACAGAATGTGCCACTTTTTTCGCTCTTTTTGGGGGGTTCATCTTCACACTAGAAAAATCACTTATTTCATGTTGTGAAGTTCGGACAGGTTTATGTTCTGGTACATATTTTTTCACTTATATTTAGATCTAAATCTACATTTCTTTTCGCGAACACCTGCTATCTATCTAGTGGGAGTCGCAAAGTCGATATATGGCCGAGATCCATTTCTTATGAATATAGAAAGGGTTTTGTCGCTTAGGCAGTGTTTACGTTTTAAATTTTATACATGTGATGCCATATATATGTGTAAATATTAGAACATAAACGGCGTGTATATATCTTGTGTCTGACATATTTTAAAAATGTCTCAAACTCCTGAATGTTTCAATTTTCGCGCCCCATGCTGTTCCTGAAACTTCTGTATTAATGTTCTAACGAAATAAAATTATAGCGAACGTACAAGGTAAAACAGATCGGAGGGTAAAGAGGAATATTGTTACGTAAATTTTGTGCAAAAAGTGTTTATCATGAGAACAGGAGCACATAAAGGTATCAATGTCAACACTACGGTAACCAGTTTACCCCCCAGTGATATTTTTGTTGTAGTACATCACGGGGCACATTGCACAACTGACAAAATGGCGGCGATCATGCCTCCGTCTGCTAGTGCATAACACGTGGCTTATGTCACAACGACTAGAAACTTTGAAAGAGAAACTAGATAACCGGGTTGAAACGACATGACATCTAGTGCATCAAGCTCCGATGTTTTGAAGAAATTTGCTCAAAATGTCACAATTTCGAGCACGAAAGATAGAATCGGCATTCTGCAAGATGTGTCCAGGTTGGCTGCGGAAACAGGTACAAATACAAACATCAACGATGCCTGTGTTGTTGTGAATAACACTTGGTTAATTATATGACGCGCATCAAACATTGACATTCGTTTTCTCCATGTGTGTCGTGTTGCATGAGCAGATATTCTTACTCTAAGATGTCAATGAAAGCTCAATTGTCCTGTTTTCGATCACGAACTGAAATCGAAACAACGCATTACGTTAGAAGGAATTACGTCAGAGCTGCCATTGAATCGAAAGCAACAAGGGGGAATTTTATTTCATTAAAAAACCCTCTCCAATTTGGATGTAGGTGAATTCGTTAACCAAACTAATTGGGGTTATAGCTAAAACAGCACCTCAGCAAAACGTCACCTCGCCAGAAGCGAAAACGGCTGCTATTGCCTGGCGACAACGGCACCTTATTTCTTTTTTTCAATTCGTAGACACTGCAAGCTCACGGACAAAATTCACTGTGAACAGAACTCGTAGACAAAACCTTAAATTTGGAAGTACACTTACACTGTTTAGCTGCTATGAGTTTAGAATATTTTCTTAAGGACCAAAAAATTTAGATAAATGGTGGTCAGGTGTTATTTTGGGGATGAAACAAAGTAATTCATGTTTGTACAACTTTTGAAATCGGTGATACATCGACTCTAAACTCTAATCAAAAGCAGCAACCTAAACAACCCTGCATGGAACACTGGTTACCCTCTTGACTCATTCTAATTGTGCATGCTCACGTGTATGTATCGTTTAATTTCACTGTGAGACGCAGGAAGATCCGGGGTAGAATAGATCTTCAGCAACCCGTGCTTGATGTAAAAGGTGACTTTGCTTGTCTTAAGAGTCTGCTAACAGGATCGGGTGGTCAGACTCGCTGACTTGGTTGATGCATGTCATCATATCCCAATTGTGTGGATCGATGCTCATGATGTCAATCACTAAATTATCTCGTCCAGACTTGATTATTTACAGACCGCTGTCATATAGCTGGAAAATTGTGATGTTCATGCTGCTTTTTAGGTCTTACGTCTAATATATATAGAATTAGCATGATTAGTATGCTGGATTTTAAGAAAATATTGACAGAGTATGGCTACTAACCAAACTAAAAAGCCTTGAAAATGACAGTTGTAAGCCTTGAAAGGGCCTTGAATGTTAGTGTTCTATATCTGCATGAACCGTGATTGATAATATTGATTTTTATCATTCAATTCCAATATATATAAAAATGTGTCTAGGAATACACTCCCGGTTTGTCTACGAGTTCACTGTAAATTGGGTGTATAAATAATGTCATGGCTTTGTAGAGGTAACCTGATGACAGGACCCATGAAGAGGGAAAGGCTTCATGCTTAGATCCATATTATTCCACTGATTGCCATGATCATTACAGTGTTGAAATATCTCAAAATTTAGGAAAATAAAAACTTTAAGAAATCCCAATCTTGAACAATGTAGTGATATTTTCCCAATTTTCATGCCAAGGGCACTTTGTTTTTGATCTTAGATAAATTCCTGAGTATTCTTCCAAGAATGACGTGGGAGGCCATTATTTAAAAATAGATACTGAGTTCCCCAACTGTAACCATGGTAACAAGTCTGCTAGCACTAGAACATCGTGAAGCGCTTGACTGTATTGTATTTATGTAAATTACTCACAGAAATTAATTTTAAGTAGTACCAAATTATGAAACAGCATTCATTCCTCAACATGCATACAAATTTCCTGCCTCCGAGTGTTGTGTCTGTGAGTTTTAATTTGTTTTGCATAGAGGATTCACCAAGGCCATGGTGCTCCTGGCTTGCTTCCACTGTGAACCTGAAAAGTTGGAATCTGGTGTAATGTGAAATGTGACTTTTAAAAGTCATTTCCTTGTATTGCTTAACAATTTAAAAACTATTTGTGTCAAGAACAGCCTTAAGGGCAGGAGGATCGTCATTGTCAGGATCAACCTATTTTAGACAATGTATGTGTTATGAAAATAGATATCAGTTTATGTTCTGGTGTTCAGTTAAAGATATTATTTAGTCTCTAGTCATTCTCAATGATGACTGAATATACCCATTTTTTAGAAGAAAAGTGAAAAAGACACAAATTATTTTGCAACAGTGCATGTATCAATACAGCTCTATAACTAACATGATTATGGAGTAGAAAATGAAGCATGTCAATGTGTGACTGTATAGTAAATAATTTGTGTTCCTGCCAACAGATTTGCCGGAAGCAGCTGTCAAAGGGATTTTTAAATTCCTTGTGTTTGCACTTGGGAAGTATCGAGATGGGAGGTCACGGCATGCAGTGCTCAACTTGATTCAGGTTCTGGCCAAGAAAAGTCCTGATGTGGTCCTCAAGAATCTGCGATCTGTTCTCAGTCCAACTGGAGAGGCAATGAAAAATACAGTCATTCCATGGTAACATTAATACCTCTATTATGGCAAGACATATTCAGATACATTTTCTTACAAAACAATCTGAAATACAGTTTTTGTTTTAAAGTCCTTGGTGATTGTGATCAAATACCCAATGTTTGTCGTAGGACCCTGCTGATTGGTGGTGACAAGATATGACCTGGCTGACTGCCTCTCATTGTACCATGGCAGCAGGGATCTTTGTCCATTGTGTCACTGGCCCGCCTAGTTCAGGCGCCATTCTTTAATGATGGGGGGGCACGGGTGGCCCAGTCGTCGAAGGCGCCGCGATTCGCTGTGCAGAGTTGCGTCCCTTGGGCACGCCAGAAACCTGTGATTGTGGGTTCGAATCCCGGTTCGCCCCGATTATGTTTCTAGGTTTGTCAGCACCATACCCATGCTCATGGGTTTCACCGAAGTGGTAAACGTCTGAGACCTGCATCACTTCGGGCTTTCCTCCCACATTAAGCTGACACGCCGCGATATAACTGGAATACTGTTAAAAGCGGCGTTAAACCACTCACTCACTCACTCACTTTAATGATGGGCTTGGTAATATTGACAATATTCGTAAGACAACAATATCAGACAAGTCTGATAAAACTTGGAGCCTCGATTTAATTGTATCAATTTGGGCTGGCTGTTGGTATAGATCAGAGAGGATGATAATCGCTAACTAAGTATCGATCAATTATCAATAAATATCGGAGAAGGAAATTTATTTAAATAGTTTTTGCCAGGGCTCCGGTGAAACCCAATCAGACATTTTGTACCCAATTCTAGAGACCCTCAGCGGGTACCTGGGTAGAGTCAGGTAATAGGGGGTGGGTACCCAGGTAGAGTCGGGTAATAGGGGGTGGGTACCTGGGTAGAGTCAGGTAATGGGGGTGGGTACCTGGGTAGAGTCAGGTAATGGGGGTGGGTACCTGGGTAGAGTCAGGTAATGGGGGAGGGTACCTGGGTAGAGTCAGGTAATGGGGGTGGGTACCTGGGTAGAGTCAGGTAATGGGGGTGGGTACCTGGGTAGAGTCAGGTAATGGGGGTGGGTACCTGGGTAGAGTCAGGTAATGGGGGTGGGTACCTGGGTAGAGTCAGGTAATGGGGGTGGGTACCTGGGTACCTGGGTAGAGTCAGGTAATGGGGGTGGGTACCTGGGTAGAGTCAGGTAATGGGGGTGGGTACCTGGGTAGAGTCAGGTAATGGGGGTGGGTACCTGGGTAGAGTCAGGTAATGGGGGTGGGTACCTGGGTAGAGTCAGGTAATGGGGGTGGGTACCTGGGTAGAGTCAGGTAATGGGGGTGGGTACCTGGGTAGAGTCAGGTAATGGGGGTGGGTACCTGGGTACCTGGGTAGAGTCAGGTAATAGGGGGTGGGTACCTGGGTAGAGTCAGGTAATAGGGGGTCGGGTACCCGGGTAGAGTCAGGTAAGAGGGGGTGGGTACCTGGGTAGAGTCAGGTAATAAGGGGTGGGTACCTGGGTAGTCAGGTAATAGGGGGTGGGTACCTGGGTAGAGTCAGGTAATAGGGGGTGGGTACCTGGGTAGAGTCAGGTAATAAGGGGTGGGTACCCAGGTAGAGTCAGGTAATAGGGTGGGGGTACCCAGGTAGTAAATTTGGGCATGTCCCAGCCCCATTTCTGGAATAGACAGTCCTCAGTATTACATGCTCGTACAAGTCAGTTGAGGATTGGCTCATCACATTACTGCATGTGCTCGGGGGGTGGGGATAGTACATGAGGCTGGAGTACTGCTGACTGCAGCTTTAATCAACACACAATTGCTTGCTCCTGATTTGTGATACTTTCTGTGTCGTCGCCTGTTCATTTGTTATCCCCCGATTTGAAAAATGGGGGAGATAGCGACCAGCATCTCCATCCATCCTTTTTCCATTTCTGGGGCAGAACTCCTAAACTGTTGCACGTTTCTTGTTGAAACTTGCTATACACATAAAGTAGCGAACTTGGAGTTTTTTGGGGGGGTTTGTTTTGTTTTCATGATGACAAGTTGGACTTTACTGAAATTGAGGGTAGTGCTTGTGTCCTGAGCAGAACTCCCAAACCATTGAATATTTCTTGATGGAACTTACTATACAGATCAGTCTAGTAGTGAATTGGAGCCTTTTGACGATTTAGGATTTGTTTTTATAACATTTATTTTGGTTTTCATGACTAGACTTTGGACTTATACTAAAAATGAGGGTAGTACTCGTTTCCGGCAGAGAAACTGTTGAATATTTCTGGATAAAACTTGCCATACAGATCATGTTAGTGGTGAACAGCTGCCTTTTGATGATTTGGGAATTTCAAAAATACTGAACAGCATCAGTTTTTCCTTCACTGAACTGAAGGTGTCCAGTGGCAATGAACCAAAAGTTGGGTATATGTAGCCAAACTCCATTTCTGAATTACACCAGACCGGGGGGATATGTCATCGCCTGTTGACGCTTGCTCTAACTGTTATGTTTTCAGCCGGAGTTCTTCAGGAGAAGCTCTGATGGGCCTGAGCTGGACATGTGAAGCGCTGAGAGTAGTGATGAAATCCGAAAAGGGAATCTCACAACAGGACCTGAAAGAAGTGGTAATGATAATAATAGTAATAGTAATAATAATAATAATAGTTATATTTTTACATTTGTTCAAAGCCAGTTCTTTTCAATGCATGCTGAACCTGTACAACTACTTACAGGTCAACGGATCACTGTACAGCTTATTTTCCTTTTTTTAGCTCCCAAGAGAGTACACAACCCGAGCTATGCATTTACATTGCCACATCTTATCCTGCCTGGTACCCATTAACTGCTGGGAGAACACTGTGAACTAATTCTCATGTCAAGACAGTGTTTCACTCTTAACTTGTTTTAATTTTTCTATCATTTGTAGACCAGTGTTTGAAATAATTTTAAAACCCAACAATACAATTGGGCAGGTGACCCATAAGTGTTGCCCATTTTTCGGTGTCTCCGCCGTGATATTGCTGGAATATTGCTAAAAGCAGTGTAAAACCATACTCACTCACTCTTAAGGAAGTTGGGGCAGTGGCGTAGCCTAGTGGATAAAGTGAAGTTGAAGAAGAAATAAAGATGTTGTCTGTTTTTAAGTCCCACTTATGTTCGGACCACCGCCACTGTCATGTGACCTTGATGACATGAAAGGTCACCTTCACATCACTGCCTGTTGTCCGAGCTTCCGAGAAAAATACCTTTGAGATTTCTGTAGCCAAAGTGGGGAGGCAAGTCTGCGATGGCTAGGTCCTTAAACATGGTAATGCAGGATAAGTATACAAATGTACAAAATATTCAGATTTTACTAAATGCCCTTACTCTACAAGAATGTTCCAATATGTATGATGAACTCACCCAATTAATGTTCCATTCATTGATTTTCCCATACAGGTCAGTGTCCAAGTGTTGCTGGTGTTTGGAGCTTTGGCTGATAGAAACAAGGCCATTGACAAATCTGCTTACCGCAAGCTGCGCAGAGTTTGGAAATGTGTAAGTTTTATGAAGATCATTTGAAAAGGAAACATCAGTGACCAAGTCATCGTAGGCCCCACAATTCTCTTTGCTGAGTTGCTTCTGTTAGTTGTGCCAGAATCCTATTATTGTGTTTCGAATCCCAGATTACCCCAGTTATGGTTCTTCAATTCACCAGGGTGGGGGACCCGTGCTTGTGGGTTTCACCGAAGTGGTAAACGTCTGAGACCTGCATCACTTAGGGTTTTCCTCCCACATCAAGTTGACTTGCCATAGTATATATAACTGGAATACTGTTCAAAGCGAGGGTTAAACTTTAAGTTCAACTTAAACTTAACTCACTCACTCTTTTGTGTCCTAAACAGTGTTCAGTGATCATGGAGTCCTTGAGGTTTGCAGCAACAGTATTTGAGGGCTTCAGGGTTATTTGAGGACTCGATTATTTACAGACCGCCGTCATATAGCTGGAATATTGCTGAGTGTGGCATTAAGCAACAAACAAACAAAGGGTTATTGACAAGGACTCCTTGACTTTCATATTTAATTTTGACTCTTATGGAATCTGTATTTATGTTGAAATTGGTATTGAATGATTGTTCTTCTATTTATCTGTTTGTATATTGACTGTATAAGATGACATTTGCAGGTCCCGGGATCAGCTGAGCAGTATGCACTGGCGCTGGAAAGTCTTGAAGTCTCCATGCATAATGTTTGCACTGTGGCATTGTTTTTGAAATACCTGGTCGCAACCAAAGATCAAACGGGCATTGACAACCACAAGGTAGAAATTATTTTGTCATTTTCTTCTTAATAACTTGATATGATCAACCAAGCAGTTAGTTATTACCCCAGTCATACCAAGACATTGTCGCGTGGTTGACACAAGTCTTGACCTAGACTGGATAAAGGCTCCAGACCGTGGAGCGTTTAGAAAATAAATATCAGAAGTAGAGACAATGTGCATTTTAACATGGTCATGATATTATCAACTTTTGATTTTGGATGACGATCAAGCTAATCCTTGTGATGATGTTATGTTACTTTTGTCTTTGAGTATATTCATTATTGAAAAGGTGAAAAGTAAAACCTCATGTTTTGTGTTTCAGGGGAGGTTCCTGGAGGACTATATGAAAGTCGTGCTGGCAAGCCGGACCAAGCCCCCAGTTTACGTTCTGGTCAGTATCTGTAGCTGTAGCTGGACTGTGATAATCCACTGGGCAGGCTCGGTTACTTGCCTGATGGTGTGTCATTCTGCCCTGATGGTGTGTCATTCTGCCCCGGTGGTGTGTCATTCTACCCTGATGGTGTGTCATTCTGCCCTGATGGTGTGTCATTCTGCCCTGATGGTGTGTCACTCTGCCCTGATGGTGTGTCACTCTGCCCTGATGATGTGTCATTCTGCCCCGGTGGTGTGTCATTCTGCCCCGGTGGTGTGTCATTCTGCCCTGATGGTGTGTCACTCTGCCCTGATGGTGTGTCATTCTGCCCTGATGATGTGTCATTCTGCCCTGATGATGTGTCACTCTGCCCTGATGGTGTGTCACTCTGCCCTGATGGTGTGTCATTCTGCCCCGGCGGTGTGTCATTCTGCCCTGATGGTGTGTCACTCTGCCCTGATGGTGTGTCATTCTGCCCCGGTGGTGTGTCATTCTGCCCTGATGATGTGTCATTCTGCCCTGATGGTGTGTCATTCTGCCCTGATGATGTGTCATTCTGCCCTGATGATGTGTCATTCTGCCCTGATGGTGTGTCACTCTGCCCTGATGGTGTGTCATTCTGCCCTGATGATGTGTCATTCTGCCCTGATGATGTGTCACTCTGCCCTGAAGGTGTGTCACTCTGCCCTGATGGTGTGTCATTCTGCCCCGGTGGTGTGTCATTCTGCCCCGGTGGTGTGTCATTCTGCCCTGATGGTGTGTCACTCTGCCCTGATGGTGTGTCACTCTGCCCTGATGGTGTGTCATTCTGCCCTGATGATGTGTCATTCTGCCCTGATGGTGTGTCATTCTGCCCCGGTTGTGTGTCATTCTGCCCTGATGGTGTGTCATTCTGCCCTGATGATGTGTCATTCTGCCCCGGTGGTGTGTCATTCTGCCCTGATGGTGTGTCATTCTACCTGATGGTGTGTCATTCTGCCTTGATGATGTGTCATTCTGCCCCGGTGGTGTGTCACTCTACCCTGATGGTGTGTCATTCTGCCCTGATGGTGTGTCATTCTGCCCCGGTGGTGTGTCACTCTGCCCTGATGGTGTGTCATTCTGCCCTGATGATGTGTCATTCTGCCCCGGTGGTGTGTCACTCTGCCCTGATGGTGTGTCATTCTACCTGATGGTGTGTCATTCTGCCCTGATGGTGTGTCACTCTGCCCCGGTGGTGTGTCACTCTACCCTGATGGGGTGTCACTCTGCCCTGATGGTGTGTCATTCTGCCCTGATGGTGTGTCATTCTGCCCTGATGATGTGTCATTCTGCCCCGGTGGTGTGTCACTCTGCCCTGATGGTGTGTCATTTTGCCCTGATGGTGTGTAATTCTTCCCTGATGGTGTGTAACCCTGATGGTGTGTGTTAGAGCGTCCGCCCGGAGAGCGGAAGGTCCTGGGTTCGTTCCCCGGCCTCGTCATACCAAAAGACGTTAAATGATGGTACTTGTTGTTACTCTGTCTGGCGCTCGACATTAAGGGGCTAAAACAGGACTGGTTGGCTCGGAGTCAGTATACTGTGTCTGAGTGGGGTATTCATGTTAAACTGCGGCATTGTATCTCAGTGAGCAAGCATATAAATCGGCATCAGTCCGGACTAGTACAAGCAGCCACACACCCACACAAGTGCATGCACGTCGCTATATAAGTGCAATAATCTTGGACGCGACGTTAAACCCAATTTTCACCTCACCTTCACCCTGATGGTGTGTTACTCTTCCCTGGTGGTGTGTCATTTTGCCCCAATGTGTGTCATTTTGCCCTGATGGTGTGTCACTGTGCACTGATGCTGTCATTGTGCCCTGATGGTGTGTCACTGCGCTGATGGTGTGTCACTCTGCCCTGATGATGTGTCACTCTACCCTTGTGGTGTGTCATTCTGCCCTGATGGTGTGTCACTCTGCCCTGATGGTGTGTCTCTCTGCCCTGATGGTGTGTCACTGTGCCCTGATGGTGTGTCACTGTGCCCTGATGGTGTGTCACTCTGCCCTGGTGGTGTGTCACTGTGCCCTGATGGTGTGGCATTCTGCCCTGGTGGTGTGTCACTGTGCCCTGATGGTGTGGCATTCTGCCCTGATGGTGTGGCATTCTGCCCTGATGGTGTGGCATTCTGCCCTGATGGTGTGTCATTCTGTGCTGATGGTGTGTCATTCTGCCCTGATTGTGTGTCATTCTGCCCTGATGGTGTGTCATCTGCTCCCAAGCAGCCTATAGAGGTCTAAGGGGCAACTAAATGGATCTGATGGTCAGACTGAGTGACTTGATTGATTGCATGTTATCATGACCCGGCCGGCGGCATGGATCGTTGCTCTTTTCAATCACTGCATTGTCTGGCCCAGACACCCTGATTATGGAAATCAGCACTTCACTTCGCTTGTGGCTTTCCTCCCACATTAATTTGACACACCTTGATGTATCCAAACTGCTCAAAGTGGCATTAAACCCAGCCCACTTGCTGATAGTGCTGATGGTAATATAACCGGTAACTTAAACCCAACTCACTTGCTCATAGTGCTGATGGTAATATTACCAGTATCTTAAACCAAGCCCACTTGCTGATGGTAATATTCCCAGTATCTTAAACCCAGCCCACTTGCTGATAGTGCTGATGGTAATATTACCGGTAACTTAAACCCAACTCACTTGCTGATAGTGCTGATGGTAATATTACCAGTATCTTAAACCCAGCCCACTTGCTGATGGTAATATTACCAGTATCTTAAACCCAGCCCACTTGCTGATAGTGCTGATGGTAATATTACCGGTATCTTAAACCCAGCCCACTTGCTGATAGTGCTGATGGTAATATTACCATTAACTTAAACCCAGCCCACTTGCTGATAGTGCTGATGGTAATATAACCGGTAACTTAACCCCAGCCCACTTGCTGATAGTGCTGATGGTAATATTACCAGAAACTTAAACGCAACTCACTTGCTGGTGGTAATATATCCAGTATCTTAAACCCAACTCACTTGCTGATTGTGCTGATGGTAATATTACTGGTATCTTAAACCCAACTCACTTGCTGATGGTGATATTACCGGTAACTTAAACCCAACTCACTTGCTGATAGTGCTGATGGTAATATTACCAGTATCTTAAAACCAACCCACTTGCTGATGGTAATATTACCAGTATCTTAACCCAGCCCATTTGCTGATAGTGCTGATGGTAATATTACTGGTAACTTAAACCAAGCCCACTTGCTAAAAGTGCTGATGGTAATATTACTGGTAACTTAAACCCAGCCCACTTGCTGATAGTGCTGATGGTAATATTACCAGTATCTTAAACCATGCCCACTTGCTGATAGTGCTGATGGTAATATTACCGGTAACTTAAACCCAGCCCACTTGCTGATCGTGCTCATGATAATATTACCGGTAACTTAAACCCAACTCACTCACTCACATCATTTGTTTACAGGAGTGTTGTCAGGAACTTCTACGTCATGTGACCCACGGTGACTTCAAAGGTCAAATTTTGCCAGCTACCCAGAAATGCATGCTACGTAGTCCTGAAATATGTCTCCAGAGTAAGTTGTTATTAATTATTGAAGATTCCAAATTAATTGTCAGAATTACAGTCAAATTCTGTTTGAAAGTTAACTGACCTGTTAAGATCACCGTTTAATATGTCTTCAGCAACCCATGCTTGTTGTAAAAGGTGGCTATGCTTTCGTAAGAGGTGTCTATCGGGTGGTCAGGCTTGCTGGCTTGGGTGATGCATGTCATCGTATCCCGAATTGCCTAGATTGGTGTTCATGATTATGATCGCTGGATTGTCTGGTCCAGATTCGATTATTTATAGACTGCCGTCTTATAGCTGGAATATTGCTGAGTGCGGCGTTAAACAAGAAACAAACGAAAAATGTATTTGACAGAGCAACCAAACAGGATTGATTCATTAGAAATGCAAAAGAGATGATGCCATGGGTGGCCCTGTGACTTCAGGCACTGCTTCTCACTCTAGAGAGTTATGTCCCTTAGTCATGACAGGAGCTGCTGGTCATACATCATCTTTATCACTGCTTTATCGTTTACTTTCATAAATCATTAATCTTTTTTCATTACTCACCGACTTGGTTGATGCATGTCATCGATCCCAATCGCGTGGATCAATGCTCATGATGTAAATCACTGGATTGTCTGGTCCAGATTATTTACAGACCGCCATCTTATCGCTGGAATATTGCTGGGTGCGGCGTTAAACAACACTAGGACTACCACCGGTTAAGACAATACACTTGATTAGAATAAAGACACCAATATGGCTACTGTCTAGCTGGCTTCAAGGTGAATTGTGATAGAGCCTGTATAATGTGTTTCAGCCATGAGCTACATGATTGCTGGTGTGAAGCTCGATCTCAGTCAGTACTCCCAGGATCTGGCCAAGTTGTTGGGAAGTGAGTGTCGCATTGACCTTTGTTAGTCTACAGTGATGGTGACAGTGACGTAGGTTGTTGCCTCTCTTGCATAAATACAGCAGCCTCTTAGTCTTATTGTTGGTTCCAGGTGGAGTTTCCACAAGTTTACACTACCCCGTGATGATTCGGGCTAGAATTTGTCTTCAGCAACCCATGCTTGCCGTAAAAGGCAACTTTTCTTGTTGTAAGAGGTGCATGTCATCGCGTCCCAATTGTGTGGATTGATGCTCATGCTATCAATCACTGGATTGCCTCGTCAAGACTCAATTATTATCAGACCGCCGTCATATAGCTGGAATATTGCTGAGTGGGGCGTTAAACAACAAACAAACAAATAAACAGTAGTCTATGTCTGAGTGGGGTATTCATTTTAGATTGCATTATGGCGTCTTGATGGGCTAGCACTATGAAGTCGACATTAGTCCGGACTCTCGCACATACAGACAAATCTGTCCGACAGACAGACATGCGCACGCACACACACACACACACACACACGCTCACACTCACACACGCACGCACACACACACACTCACGCGCACACATGCACACACACACACGCATGCACGCGCACACACTCACGCGCACACACGCACACACACTAACACAAGCACACGCACACGCACACGCACACACACACACACACACGTGCATGCATTATCACTGATGGGTACATTATCAGTGCAACTCACTGAAGTCTATCTTCTCCAGCCCAGCTCATCTCCAAGGATGAGAGGATGCGTCAGACGGCCCAGTCGGCCATCAAGAACCTGGCCAGGCAGATCAGTGACCCCGAGGCCGCCGAGAAACTCGTCACTCACTTCTTCGGTGTTCTCAATGGTAGGAAAGTCTCTCAGGTGGACCAGGCTGATACAAACTGGCAACTAAGCAAGTTCGAGTCTAGCGATTCAAGCAATGTCTTGTATCTACAAACTCACATTGTATTTTGAAATAATTTATGTATGTGTATATTTCTCACAACTGTGTACTTTGGACATTGCAGTGAATAGGAAACTATCATTGGTATCACGTCATAGTTCGCGAAAGGTCGTTCTGACGTGACCTGTAATGGGACGTTCTTAGCAGTAGTGAAAACTTGTATCTGATATCCGTTGTAATAAGCAGCTATTAGCCGACTCGTCTCGCATCAAAACATGGGCTGTGTTCTCGTGGGCAGATCACCATGGAGTACTCTGATCACTGCGTCGGATTAACGAGACTGATTAACGAGACTGATTAACGAGACTGATTAATGAGACTGATTAATGAGTGATTCCGTTGATTCGTTGCAAATTAGGTGTGTCAGAGTCAGAGTGCAAGACTGTCGGATTAAAGGGTCTAAATAGCACTGATTTAATCAGTTCTGATCACTAGTGTCGGATTAACGAGTGTCAGATTATCGAGACAAGTAGTATGTGATTACTGGCATGATTACACACAGATAGTGGCATGGCAGACTGTTTGAGGCGGCATTAAACCAACGCATGCACACTCTTGGTTCCAGGGTCGGAGGGTAAGCTGACAGCAGCGGACCAGAAGCTGAGTGTGCTTCATGGGGTTGGCAACCTCTTCTACAACACCGTCAGTGGCAGCACGTCGCTGCAGAACCTCAGCATCACCGTCACGGAGTTCTTCCTCACCACCCTACAGCAGGAGGGTACGTCCCCCTTTGTGTGTCCTTGTACTGGTTGGATTACCAATATGCAGAGGTGCAGGAGAAAAACTAATTTAATAAATTAGCAAACTATGTGAGTCTCAGGTGCTCCCTGAGAAAACATTTCCAATAAGACATTACACAAATTACAAAAAAGATGTTTTCATAAGATGTAGCACTCTGAAGACCAATGCAAACTCTGCATGGAATAAGCTGCTTTAGTAAATCTTCAGTCTGTGAACATGACAGTCCTGCCTGTAGGGTTCCTCCCACATTAATCTGGCCTCATCATGACAACCTAGTCACTCTCGCCATGGTTGTGTTGACAGTGCACGAGGGCACCCTGGTCCATGCCCTCGCCATGCTGTCCTTGTGGTGTACCAAGTTCTACACAGTCGTCCCAGACAAACTCATGCAGTGGTTCAAGGTAGGTCACCAGGGTAATATGAAAGTTCATAATTGCCCTCCTTTTGTCAAGGTTGTTAGGATAAATATGAAACTGTGAACCACAATGTGAACCATGAAAACATGCAGTAAAATAACTTTAATTGAATCAGATGGTTTATCAAGTCCTGGATATTTTAATATCCCATGTTCTAGTCTCTAAAACAAAGGTCATACTGTGGACCTCAATTTTGAGTCTATTGATTTTTAGATCATTCTTGCATACCTGTGGCCATTACAGATCATAAGGTGTTACAGTATCTCAACTCCATGTGGATTCTGGGGTAGAGTTGGTCCCCTGCAATCTTTGCTGGTCATGAGAGGCTGCTCAGTTATTGGGTGGCCATCAGCCAAGTCCCCTGACGGTACTCATAATATCAATCACTGGATTGTCTGGTCCTGACTAGAGTATTTGCAGGCTGCAATCATATATTCGAGGAATGCTGAGTGTGACGGTAAACAGCACGCACGCACGCACGCACGCACGCACGCACGCACGCACGCACGCACACACACACACACACACACACGCACAGAGAACTCCATCAAAGTAGGGCTGAATGGTGACAGCCTTCACTCGTGGTTGATTCCCCACATGGATAGAGTGTGTGAAGCCTTGATGATCCCTGCAAGCTGGAATAATGCCAGAGGTGACATAAAATGCTCTCACTCACTTGTGAATTTGGCATTGTAGCTGTGAGAAAATAGGCATTGCCTATGGGCATTTATTGTAGGAGTAGAGTTCTATCTCTTTATTCCAGCTGTATGAACGTATGTAAATTTAAATAGACAATACACTGGTTGATCTCTTGAGCATCATAAGCATATGTAATTAGGACACGATGACATGCATCTACCAAGTCAGCGACTCCCTGATCCCATTAGTCACGTCTTTGGACAAATTTTGGTTGCTGAAAAATAGTTCTAACCGGATCTTCTCAGGCTTAATGTCATTGGGAAACATCCTGCACCACTCTGACCATCTCACCACCACTCTGACCATCTCACCACCACTCTGACCATCTCACCACCACTCTGACCATCTCACCACCACTCTGACCATCTCACCACCACTCTGACCATCTCACCACCACTCTGACCATCTCACCACCACTCTGACCATCTCACCACCACTCTGACCATCTCACCACCACTCTGACCATCTCACCACCACTCTGACCATCTCACCACCACTCTGACCATCTCACCACCACTCTGACCATCTCACCACCACTCTGACCATCTCACCACCACTCTGACCATCTCACCACCACTCTGACCATGTCACCACCACTCTGACCATCTCACCACCACTCTGACCATCTCACCACCACTCTGACCATCTCACCACCACTCTGACCATCTCACCACCACTCTGACCATCTCACCACCACTCTGACCATCTCACCACCACTCTATTGTTTTGCAGAAGGGAATAACACTGAAGACAACCACGTCGGCTGTGAGGAACGCCTACATCCTGTGTATGAACGCATCCTTCCACGGTAAGTGCTGGTGGTCGTCATGGTGATCCACCACTGCTGTATGAACGCATCCTTCCACGGTAAGTGCTGGTGGTCGTCATGGTGATCCACCACTGCTGTATGAATGCATCCTTCCACGGTAAGTGCTGGTGGTCGTCATGGTGATCCACCACTGCTGTATGAATGCATCCTTCCACGGTAAGTGCTGGTGGTCGTCATGGTGATCCACCACTGCTGTATGAATGCATCCTTCCACGGTAAGTGCTGGTGGTCGTCATGGTGATCCATCACTGCTGTATGAATGCATCCTTCCACGGTAAGTGCTGGTGGTCGTCATGGTGATCCACCACTGCTGTATGAATGCATCCTTCCACGGTAAGTGCTGGTGGTCGTCATGGTGATCCATCACTGCTGTATGAATGCATCCTTCCACGGTAAGTGCTGGTGGTCGTCATGGTGATCCATCACTGCTGTATGAATGCATCCTTCCACGGTAAGTGCTGGTGGTCGTCATGGTGATCCATCACTGCTGTATGAATGCATCCTTCCACGGTAAGTGCTGGTGGTCGTCATGGTGATCCACCACTGCTGTATGAATGCATCCTTCCACGGTAAGTGCTGGTGGTCGTCATGGTGATCCACCACTGCTGTATGAATGCATCCTTCCACGGTAAGTGCTGGTGGTCGTCATGGTGATCCATCACTGCTGTATGAATGCATCCTTCCACGGTAAGTGCTGGTGGTCGTCATGGTGATCCACCACTGCTGTATGAATGCATCTCACCACCACTCTGACCATCTCACCACCACTCTGACCATCTCACCACCACTCTGACCATCTCACCACCACTCTGACCATCTCACCACCACTCTGATCCATCACTGCTGTATGAATGCATCCTTCCACGGTAAGTGCTGGTGGTCGTCATGGTGATCCATCACTGCTGTATGAATGCATCCTTCCACGGTAAGTGCTGGTGGTCGTCATGGTGATCCACCACTGCTGTATGAATGCATCTCACCACCACTCTGACCATCTCACCACCACTCTGACCATCTCACCACCACTCTGACCATCTCACCACCACTCTGACCATCTCACCACCACTCTGATCCATCACTGCTGTATGAATGCATCCTTCCACGGTAAGTGCTGGTGGTCGTCATGGTGATCCATCACTGCTGTATGAATGCATCCTTCCACGGTAAGTGCTGGTGGTCGTCATGGTGATCCACCACTGCTGTATGAATGCATCTCACCACCACTCTGACCATCTCACCACCACTCTGACCATCTCACCACCACTCTGACCATCTCACCACCACTCTGACCACTGCTGTATGAATGCATCCTTCCACGGTAAGTGCTGGTGGTCGTCATGGTGATCCATCACTGCTGTATGAATGCATCCTTCCACGGTAAGTGCTGGTGGTCGTCATGGTGATCCACCACTGCTGTATGAATGCATCTCACCACCACTCTGACCATCTCACCACCACTCTGACCATCTCACCACCACTCTGACCATCTCACCACCACTCTGACCATCTCACCACCACTCTGACCACTGCTGTATGAATGCATCCTTCCACGGTAAGTGCTGGTGGTCGTCATGGTGATCCATCACTGCTGTATGAATGCATCCTTCCACGGTAAGTGCTGGTGGTCGTCATGGTGATCCACCACTGCTGTATGAATGCATCTCACCACCACTCTGACCATCTCACCACCACTCTGACCATCTCACCACCACTCTGACCATCTCACCACCACTCTGACCATCTCACCACCACTCTGATCCATCACTGCTGTATGAATGCATCCTTCCACGGTAAGTGCTGGTGGTCGTCATGGTGATCCATCACTGCTGTATGAATGCATCCTTCCACGGTAAGTGCTGGTGGTCGTCATGGTGATCCACCACTGCTGTATGAATGCATCCTTCCACGGTAAGTGCTGGTGGTCGTCATGGTGATCCACCACTGCTGTATGAATGCATCCTTCCACGGTAAGTGCTGGTGGTCGTCATGGTGATCCATCACTGCTGTATGAATGCATCCTTCCACGGTAAGTGCTGGTGGTCGTCATGGTGATCCACCACTGCTGTATGAATGCATCCTTCCACGGTAAGTGCTGGTGGTCGTCATGGTGATCCATCACTGCTGTATGAATGCATCCTTCCACGGTAAGTGCTGGTGGTCGTCATGGTGATCCATCACTGCTGTATGAATGCATCCTTCCACGGTAAGTGCTGGTGGTCGTCATGGTGATCCATCACTGCTGTATGAATGCATCCTTCCACGGTAAGTGCTGGTGGTCGTCATGGTGATCCACCACTGCTGTATGAATGCATCCTTCCACGGTAAGTGCTGGTGGTCGTCATGGTGATCCACCACTGCTGTATGAATGCATCCTTCCACGGTAAGTGCTGGTGGTCGTCATGGTGATCCATCACTGCTGTATGAATGCATCCTTCCACGGTAAGTGCTGGTGGTCGTCATGGTGATCCACCACTGCTGTATGAATGCATCCTTCCACGGTAAGTGCTGGTGGTCGTCATGGTGATCCATCACTGCTGTATGAATGCATCCTTCCACGGTAAGTGCTGGTGGCCGTCATGGTGATCCATCACTGCTGTATGAATGCTTCCTTCCACGGTAAGTGCTGGTGGTCGTCATGGTGATCCACCACTGCTGTATGAATGCATCCTTCCACGGTAAGTGCTGGTGGTCGTCATGGTGATCCACCACTGCTGTATGAATGCATCCTTCCACGGTAAGTGCTGGTGGCCGTCATGGTGATCCATCACTGCTGTATGAATGCATCCTTCCACGGTAAGTGCTGGTGGTCGTCATGGTGATCCACCACTGCTGTATGAATGCATCCTTCCACGGTAAGTGCTGGTGGCCGTCATGGTGATCCACCACTGCTGTATGAATGCATCCTTCCACGGTAAGTGCTGGTGGTCGTCATGGTGATCCATCACTGCTGTATGAATGCATCCTTCCACGGTAAGTGCTGGTGGTCGTCATGGTGATCCATCACTGCTGTATGAATGCATCCTTCCACGGTAAGTGCTGGTGGTCGTCATGGTGATCCACCACTGCTGTATGAATGCATCCTTCCACGGTAAGTGCTGGTGGTCGTCATGGTGATCCACCACTGCTGTATGAATGCATCCTTCCACGGTAAGTGCTGGTGGTCGTCATGGTGATCCATCACTGCTGTATGAATGCATCCTTCCACGGTAAGTGCTGGTGGTCGTCATGGTGATCCACCACTGCTGTATGAATGCATCCTTCCACGGTAAGTGCTGGTGGTCGTCATGGTGATCCACCACTGCTGTATGAATGCATCCTTCCACGGTAAGTGCTGGTGGTCGTCATGGTGATCCATCACTGCTGTATGAATGCATCCTTCCACGGTAAGTGCTGGTGGTCGTCATGGTGATCCATCACTGCTGTATGAATGCATCCTTCCACGGTAAGTGCTGGTGGTCGTCATGGTGATCCATCACTGCTGTATGAATGCATCCTTCCACGGTAAGTGCTGGTGGTCGTCATGGTGATCCATCACTGCTGTATGAATGCATCCTTCCACGGTAAGTGCTGGTGGTCGTCATGGTGATCCATCACTGCTGTATGAATGCATCCTTCCACGGTAAGTGCTGGTGGTCGTCATGGTGATCCACCACTGCTGTATGAATGCATCCTTCCACGGTAAGTGCTGGTGGTCGTCATGGTGATCCACCACTGCTGTATGAATGCATCCTTCCACGGTAAGTGCTGGTGGTCGTCATGGTGATCCATCACTGCTGTATGAATGCATCCTTCCACGGTAAGTGCTGGTGGTCGTCATGGTGATCCACCACTGCTGTATGAATGCATCCTTCCACGGTAAGTGCTGGTGGTCGTCATGGTGATCCATCACTGCTGTATGAATGCATCCTTCCACGGTAAGTGCTGGTGGCCGTCATGGTGATCCATCACTGCTGTATGAATGCTTCCTTCCACGGTAAGTGCTGGTGGTCGTCATGGTGATCCACCACTGCTGTATGAATGCATCCTTCCACGGTAAGTGCTGGTGGTCGTCATGGTGATCCACCACTGCTGTATGAATGCATCCTTCCACGGTAAGTGCTGGTGGTCGTCATGGTGATCCATCACTGCTGTATGAATGCATCCTTCCACGGTAAGTGCTGGTGGTCGTCATGGTGATCCACCACTGCTGTATGAATGCATCCTTCCACGGTAAGTGCTGGTGGCCGTCATGGTGATCCACCACTGCTGTATGAATGCATCCTTCCACGGTAAGTGCTGGTGGTCGTCATGGTGATCCACCACTGCTGTATGAATGCTTCCTTCCACGGTAAGTGCTGGTGGTCGTCATGGTGATCCACCACTGCTGTATGAATGCATCCTTCCACGGTAAGTGCTGGTGGTCGTCATGGTGATCCATCACTGCTGTATGAATGCATCCTTCCACGGTAAGTGCTGGTGGTCGTCATGGTGATCCATCACTGCTGTATGAATGCATCCTTCCACGGTAAGTGCTGGTGGTCGTCATGGTGATCCACCACTGCTGTATGAATGCATCCTTCCACGGTAAGTGCTGGTGGTCGTCATGGTGATCCACCACTGCTGTATGAATGCATCCTTCCACGGTAAGTGCTGGTGGTCGTCATGGTGATCCATCACTGCTGTATGAATGCATCCTTCCACGGTAAGTGCTGGTGGTCGTCATGGTGATCCACCACTGCTGTATGAATGCATCCTTCCACGGTAAGTGCTGGTGGTCGTCATGGTGATCCATCACTGCTGTATGAATGCATCCTTCCACGGTAAGTGCTGGTGGTCGTCATGGTGATCCATCACTGCTGTATGAATGCATCCTTCCACGGTAAGTGCTGGTGGTCGTCATGGTGATCCATCACTGCTGTATGAATGCATCCTTCCACGGTAAGTGCTGGTGGTCGTCATGGTGATCCACCACTGCTGTATGAATGCATCCTTCCACGGTA